GAATTAGCATCAGATTTTTGTCTCTTTTCAACAAAATTTGGCATCTCATTCCGACCTTATTTAACCAACTTCAAAGTTATTTCTCAGCGTTCCATTCATGTGTTTATGTGAAAACAGAATTCCGGCACCATGCTCGAAATAGGTGGAATATGGTCTATTAATCTCAAGGCTGACAGAACCGGACACATTTGCATTTCATTTATCTGGTTTAGTTATGCTTCCCACTTAAAGGATGACCACTCGACTCGACCATATAATGGTGACAGATACAACAGAATCTAGGGTAATGCCAAAGGACATTGCACCAAATTCACTAGAAAATTGATCGAGAGGTTGTGGCACACGGCGCTGGATGACTGTCACAGGATGGCCATAATTCCACTTACAGTGGGGCACTTATTGTCTCCCTCTCATCTGCAATATCTTCGAAATCCCACACGACGATCACTGGACTTTTTCGTTGCCACAGCGAGTAGCAACACCAAAGTTAATGAATGGCATGACTTGTCTCTCATTACTGGGTGTCCAAATTAAGCAGCTGTGCTCTAACCGCATATGTGAACACATCATCATTCAGCTCTAGGTTGATCAATAATCCAGAAAGTTCCATTGAGTCAACACGGTCATATGGCATGGTATGAACCATTCTCCGTGCCTCATATCTGCTTGTCATCGACAAACCTCTAAGAAAAACCGGTCAACTTTGATTGTACCTGACGGGTTTTAAGACAGAGGTAGTAAATACTAATCAGAAGCTCGATCTAACATCTATGCAGTCTACTATCGGCACCCAGTTCTTTCTCATCTGCAATATCTTCGAAATCCCACACGACGATCACTGGACTTTTTCGTTGCCACAGCGAGTAGCAACACCAAAGTTAATGAATGGCATGACTTGTCTCTCATTACTGGGTGTCCAAATTAAGCAGCTGTGCTCTAACCGCATATGTGAACACATCATCATTCAGCTCTAGGTTGATCAATAATCCAGAAAGTTCCATTGAGTCAACACGGTCATATGGCATGGTATGAACCATTCTCCGTGCCTCATATCTGCTTGTCATCGACAAACCTCTAAGAAAAACCGGTCAACTTTGATTGTACCTGACGGGTTTTAAGACAGAGGTAGTAAATACTAATCAGAAGCTCGATCTAACATCTATACAGTCTACTATCGGCATCCCAGTTCTTGGGATTCATTAGGTAGGCTTAAGTTCGGAAATTTCATCCAAATTTTGTCGGACAAGGCCGGATGAGATACAAGGAGAAATGGCCCTGAACTTTCGCCCACCAATAATAAGAAAGTCAGAAAGATACTGCAATATTCTGAATATCGTTGCCGCTAACAGATGGAGCAGATTTTGGGCGACACATGCGGCTGAATAGTGCTACGAGTGAGAGTTACAGCATAGCCTTGAGTTATCCTTATTTCACATTCCAAAGGAACGTGTGCCGTCAAGAGATACAGAATATTTTTTATTTCCACGAAGGCATGTGGTTACTTCGCCACTTCTTATTAAGATAACTAGACATTTCTAGCGAAACTCTCCTTAGACACCTGAGTCTTTAAGTTAGATTATCCTGGATACAAAATGGTATGACGTAAACCTCAAGAGTGTTCAGGTGTCCGCGCTCCTCTGTAGGAGCGCAGTTTGTCGAACTGATCGGTATCGCGCTCAAACACTTCAAACTGTGCACTGCTATAAAAACGACCGCGAGCAATAGAGGACAAGTGAACAACTGAACGCTAATCGTATTGGGAGCTCAAGCCAGAAAGCTGTAATTTTCAGAGGTTGTATTCCCGCGCAAGACCACTATTACGACATCACGAATTTTCTTTGGTCGTGATGAAATCTATCGCTTTCGTAGATCGTGATTAAAGATTTCCTCTCCTGGTGTCTTCCTTGGATTTGGGGTTTCGCAGCTATTTTCGCAGTTTCCACCCACAGACATTCTCAGTTAATCAGCTTACCACTAATCGACAGTGCCAAAAAACAGTCAAAAATTAACATTAATAACAGCCAAACCATAATCAAACATTCGACAGTCATGTGGTCCCACGACAAGGTGTCCGAAACTGCTAACTCAGGACGAAACATTTGTATGCTTCGAAGATTCTGGAATGCGGTTCAATCTAGATAACTATTTCCCGCTTGATTTATGTTGCTATGTTAACTCTACTTCAGATTAGGTTAGAATGCGCCTCGTACTTCGAACTACGTAGACAGAGGAAAAGAAATAAGCAAGTGGATTGAGCGTAACAAGAGCGCATGCACCCAGGTAGTACACCGTATACAGAAACTGTTAGAGGACATTCTTGTTTTATTGATGCCGACCCGGGTAAGATTTGTGGTATACTGTAATTCACGTGCTCGAGTGAAGCGTTTTGTTAGGCACATGCTGTCCAACCTGATATAAGTTCCCCGTCTGCCTTAACCCGCCCAGGGTTTTGTTGAGTAGTAATCACATCACTTTTTGTACCAAGGTCACTGGACACGCTGAATGAACCGGATCGTCACACATTTCTATGCCGCTGCAGGAAACGCACTAGTTCCTGTCTCAAGCACAATGGAAGTGCGCTAGATCAACTGCAAGTCATCTGACGGCGAAACCAGGATTAACCGATACGATCAGAGTCTAAGAACCAATCACATATTACGTTTACTCAAGCGATGGACTCACGCTACATAGCGTTGGTGAGTGCAAGATTGCTACGGTGAATAAGCAGGCTGGCCAGATCGCTGTGACTGTGATCGCACCATACCCTGTGCAAGTCCAATCACAAGTCGAACCGTAACGTCATCGTAGCAACATAGGTATCAGAGTGCGTGGCATCACCGTGATCAGACCCGAGTGAACCTAGTAAGAACGTGTGATGAAGATGACTTTGCAGCAAACTCTGTTCTGAGGAAGAGCTTGACGAAGCTGTCCACCATGGGAAAGTTAAACTCATCCGTACAGCAATTTTACAGCTGATTCACCATGAGAAGCACACTAAATTAGGTGATTCTTCTTCCGGGGAGGTTGACACTTTTAAGGCTTATCGTGCTGCAAATAAGCTTTTTGTCCTTCTGAAGTCTTTTGATGCCAAACTTATTCGTTATGGCGGTATTTTACCTGGTCGGGATTCAACTGCAATGAAATAGAGGGTATAGCCAAAACAGTTACGGGTGAACAGAGTGGACCACGTCCACGGACACCACACTGACATTCGGATCATGGTACCCATGTTAGGCGAACTTCGTGAGTTTTGAAGCAATCGATATGCCACTTTGGGATATAGAGATCAGGCTGAGTAGAAAAGATTTCATCATAACTATGTATAGTAGACTCTACGAACAGCGCATCTTTGAAGAGCCTAGTGGCAGGTAAATTTCGCTAGGTCACCTTTTTCCATTCGTTCATCAAAAGAGCTGATACACTCAAAAATCTAAGGGACATGTGACCAAGTTCCCATTGGATGGTCTCTTAAAAAATGAGCATTCCGTATTTTCCCAATGAGTGAGAGCTCAAGTAACTTATAAAGTGTAAGAGGCTATCGAAGTTAGTTGGAATACTACTTCGATGCGACAGTTTTGAGATAAATAGAAGTCTGTTTTCAGGTTGAATGCACCTAACTAGGCCTCAACTCCAGGAAATATTCATCTTCATTAGCTACTTCCACGTAAGAGACAAACGACAGTGGCCAGTTTTCTATCATGATAGGCTACTTTTAGCATGTCGAAGAATGTTTCCGAAGTGCCAAAGAATCTTTTGTACATCGGTGAAAACAAACGAGTTTGAAACACCCCACAGCCACATGAACCAAGCCTCTCAGTTATTTGAAGTTGGATGAAAGAGACAAACGTCGCCTTCTGGATTTTCAGAATACATTCATCTTAATGGCCGAATAAAATCCTTTTTTTTAAATTGGGTTGTTCCATCTATCTACTAATATGAGCAATATGCTAATAAATAAAACTCGAGCTGTGCTTTGAACTTCCGCTGCTTGGGAGGCTAGCCAACCTCGTATCTCGATCTGCATCGACTGATTGAGGAATGGGTGGCACCTTAACTTATACGAATAAAATGAGATTCGCAAAGCTTCTAGAGCTTTTCACATACTTTGCAACCAATGCTCTCCTGACTAACATTCATTCTGGCAGTATTGATCAATGCACACTTCAGATAACGGCGAGGTCGCTGAGTCCTCTACAACAATACGTGAAAGGGTTCATCGCTCTATACGTGTGGATTTTTCAATTATTCTCAGAAATTCAATGATTGGCAGAACGACCCCTTAAATCTTTGCCTCTGGTTTCTCAAACTCCCGTTAGATTTGACAAAATACTGGTCAAGAGACGTTTGACCTAAACACGGGAATCTCATCTGAGGTGGAGTAATATTTACATTTAAAGTTTCAATTTCATTGGGGGATCGGATGTTCCATTGGATGCAATTAAGGGGAACACGGGGAAAACCGAGGACTATTTTCATGTGGTCCAATTCAGTGGTTTTCGCAGACTGGAACGAATCTAATAGGCCTAGCTCAATCTACAGTTGATGCGCTAAGGCGCATATTCCGTTTGAGTGAGACCAACATGTTTCGAGGAAATAATCCTTAGTCTGTCCTTCTTGAATCTTCCTTACCCAGGACAATATGTATAAAACAAATATTTGAGCAATATTTCGTGTCCGCCGACTTCCTGAACCCGTTTGTTGGTGCCCATGTCATTTCTAACCTTTTAGTTTGGACGTTACCTATCTCCGGGTGGTGTTTTTATTTATACTATCCAGAAAGATGAATAGCTCCACTGTAGCTGCGCATCATTATAGCTTGCCACTTTCCTCAACTCTAGTTGACTTAAAGGATAACACGGGTAAGTAGCGTTTGGAGATATTCATTTCCATACTCAATTAGATTCAACGCAATCCAACCTTTGGCATAGTCCTCATTTGTTTTGGGAATCATTGGGAACTAAAGGCATCTCCGATATAACTGACTTCTCTCCCCACTACAGTGTCTAGTGTCGGAGAAAACAGCATCCCACAAGGAACACAACAGCTCAGCTGCAGACAAGCAAGTGAGTGCGCTGTATTTTTAGGGCCATTGTTTGTCCTTGACCCAAGGCTGCCTACGACTACTGATCAACGTACCTTCAGACTGGTTGAATCTCAAGGTTCCATGGCAATATTTTGGTTTGATGCTTCGCAGTTTCAGGGTCCCGCAATGGTCACTGTGATTACTCTTTTTCCTCATTTCCGGTTTTATTGATGATTCCTTTGAGTAAGCCTCATAATATGCGTGATTCAATTTTTGAAAAAGAACCTCCATATTCAGATGCGATTTTACCCAAGCTGAAAGAAAAGCCTTCTTTGACGATTTTAATTTTGAGGTTTCCCATTTGTTCTATTTAAAGGGTACGAACAACCAACACTCTTAAGTAAGTTAGAGTTGCTAAATGCGTGCGTCCCTATAATGGACAGGTGTCTTATTATCACGTGATTCCTGCGAGTCCCAAGGGTTCGTGAAAATCATTTGATAGGTAGGACAAACGTTGTGCTCCGAAGCGTAGATTAGATTAATTAAATTGTTGAAAGCATGGGGAGATTTAGAAAGTTCATTAAAGAATTCGGTCTGCAAGGAAAGCCAGTTCGTGGTGCAAAACCAAGAAGGAGCATACACCTGTTTAAACTTGGTTGGAAGCAGTTAGCAATGCGCGCCTCATGAATTTCCTGAGATATGAGATCTCGTGACCCCCCGGATAAGGTGACAAGTGAAACTTTCGTTCAAGAGGTGTTAGTCAGCCGGGGCGGCAACTCCCCCTTAGAGATTAGCCTCATTCGTACTTGTAGAATGCATACCACATCAAATGGTCTATGCTGAAAGAATTAGTGATGGATGATTTCTCAACTGGGAGGAGGTTCATGGTCCTTTTGAGCTATTACCACTTCTGTGTTACCCGTAGTTTCTTTAGTTTAGAGTCAATTCAGCAGGCCGGAATTTCGATTTGACATTTGGATTCATGAAAAGCATGCTTTGGATGGTTTTCAATGAGAATAAAGTTGCTGTAGAGTGTTTCTCTGCGTCTCAGCATTGAATGATCTAACTTACAAGATGAAACCACGATTGATAAATTAACTAACGCCCTCGAGAAATCCACTCCTCTGCCAATCAATTTGGTTTTCGTGACAGATTCCTCTGAATATATCATTTATGATATCCTAAATGACGCCTTTCCTGGTTTATGTCTCCTAAGGCAGTACAAAAACCTCATTTGTGTGCCTTCTTGAATAATTGTAAAAACCTCGAGGTGAAAATTGGCTGCGTTTCCCAGCATTCGCTCTATATATTCACTCTATCTAGGTACGCCTGAGGATGACAGCCGTAATGTTCTTTTTCGCCTAGGAACGATTTGGCTGTCGAATGAAATGCTGTGACCAGGACGCGTACGCTACAGATTGACGTCAAGTTGCAAATTCAAGTGCAACAGGGGATACTTTTTGATTCAGTAAAGGAATCATCATTTATGTAACATTTTCATCAGATTTTGGCATGTCATTATGACCTAATTTAACCAACTTCAAAGTTATTTCTCAGAGTTCCATTCATGTGTTTATGTGAGAAGAGACTTCCACCAGCTGATCAAAACCACAAACTCTGAATAAGCTCTGAATAGGTGAAATCATGTCTAAAAATTTCAAAGCTGATGTTACTAGACCCATTGAAATTTGTTTCATCTGGTTTAGTTATGCATCACACTTTTATTACGACTTGACCATATAATGATGACAGATACAACTGAATCTAGGGTAACTGTCTTCTAGTTTAGAAATTAAAAATCGAAATTAAGTACTCAGATGTCATCAGAAGATAAGAGACACATTTTGTCAATATTTTGAAGTTCACTATCCCAAACAACCTCAGTTTGGGCCGCGGATCCGCTTCAGCATAAGCAGTATTCATCTCCCTCAATCCGATCATTTAGAGTTGTCTGTTAGAATATTAAACTTACAGTGCCCTCCCTTAACCGTATCATCAGCTTAGAGTTGCGTTAGAACTCCTAGTTTCTTTCGAATGGACTTGTTGTGAAATCGTTTGTACCTTGCCAGCTAGCGGTATTTGGTCCACGTACACAACCAACAAAGTACTTCTTAAGCGAGAGATCCAGCCAGGTTAGATGGGAGTCTCCCGTCAACTGCAGATAAGTTTACAAGTCGAATTTGTGTAATCTGGATTTAGCTAGAACACAAGGTTGACGGAAACTCGGAGACTGCGTCTCACTGATGAGTCCCACGAAGAGCAAAAAGCGGTCGCGGGCTGTCGCAGAATTTTAGGCACCTTTACGAGTAGTGCATTACGAATATACGTGTATCGCGCTATCTCGAATATCCTATTGACCGAAACATAAGGCATCCTAGTGCAGCACATTCAGTGGTCTGGAAACATAAAAAATGAGAGATTCAACTGTTAGCCGTTCCACTTGGCAGAGTGGGTGCTTTGCCATTCCTTCGGACGTCCGACCGATGAGCAGCGCACCTGTTTATTATCAGCGGGTGTTTTTGGTCCATGTTAGCTGGCTAGGCATTCCGGTGGGTTTTTTTAGCGGGCATGCTATATTCTTCAATCAGAAACTGGAATACGGGGTACAACAAACTGGGTCGTCCGAGTTTGTCTTCATGCCGTGTGGTCAGGGCGGCAACTGGTCACTCGCTAAATAGTATACCAAGTGAGTAGGCTGCCATAAAAAACAAATTGGGAATATTTAGAGGCAAAAAATCTAACATTAACTTTGTCGTGTTGCCTAACTTACGCTCAAAATAATGGCAGGCGCAACGGTTGCTAATGTTTCACACCATACATATATGTGAAGTGCTCCCCATTCTTCCCAGGTGGCCAATTCGTTCGTAAGTTTTGTTCCACATTTTTCGGCTTCTTTTTTACAAACAATTAAACAAAAACCACGCTGCAACAGAAGCTCGTCACCGCCTACGAGTATCCTCACTCTATTCTGCGCATTGTGCCCTCACTTGCCCTCAATGCCCTCACTTGTAAATGTGAAAACGGAACACGTCATGTAACCCATTAAGGATTTGGTCTTAAAAAATACAGACATGTATGGATGTCGTTTACTAAGAAGAGAAGGAATATTCTGGCAAACCTCTGATTGTCTTGTGAAATATGCTTAAGTTTCCCACCTTACTTAAAGTTTAAGGCAGTGTGACGATATAGTCGATCAGGAATATAAGTGGTTTCACAAGTATGCAACAAATCCGGTGTCTCTGGCAGCCACACATGTTGATGATTACCCATAATTCTACGAGGATTCCACTAATCAGAATCTTAGCCGACAGGTGTTGATGGTCGCGAGATTTTGTAAAATGCATACTCGCATGACTGTTGTTTGTACACTTGCCCTCCTCTTCTGGAGCAATCATTCTGGTGAATTCACAACAAAGGGGGTTACCAAAGCAGTTGGTACACCTTCACGGCCGAATACTTTCCTAAGTGCTTGTGGTGTGAGTTCGGCACTTGGAGTAGATAGAAAAACTTCATACCAACGTGAATATGCGTCATTAACAACTGAAGCATAACATTTACGGAGAAAAGGGCCACACGAGCCGTCATAAACTCGTTGAAATGTCTCAAAGGTAACTGGCCACAGACACCACCTGGAAGATTTGCTACGAATCATCTGTAGACATTTAACGCAATTTTTTGCGATATACTTGACGCTAGCATTCAGTTCTGACTACCAGCATGATGCGTGCAAAGGATTTTTATTGTATCAACACCCAGATGACCGGAGTGCATATCTGCCAGAACAGCCGCTCGCTGATTCGGTGGAATAATTCTATCCCCAAAGCAAAATAAATCATCCGGAGTAACGGATGAACCTTCGTGGTAACAGTAAAATGCAAGAAATCGACGTCGCTCTTGCTGCGTCTTGTTACGTTACGGCGGAGAAAAATGGGGGCGAAATATCCTCTACATTCAGCAACAAGCGCATCCCGCTTGTAACAAAACAAGTATGATATTGAAGTGCTCCCAAAACAGAACGCATTTCTTGTCGATTATTTGGGGATGACGTACATGCTATAAAAGACAGACGGTTTTTACCGAGTCTGAAATCACTGCCATCCACAATGTAAACAAGATATAATAATGATGGAATATAAGAAACATAGTCCGAGTTTAACCTTGTACATTTGCATGCCACATTAAGCCGTGGAATTATCAAGTATCAGTTGTTTGAGTTAACCGCCACTTACAGAAGTCAGTAGAGTCACAACCTTGTATTGAGCGCTAAACTTTGAGTCTAATAATCGATGGTCCTGAGTTTGAAACTAAAAAATTACAATCTCAGAGAGGTCGGACAACTACTAATTAGAGGTGCAGAATGCCTAGTGATACCGTGGGTAGTAACGTCTGCAAACACTAGGTGAAACGTGCAGTAAGATCTAACTGTGGAATGATGGATTGGACACTAGCGCTGTCAACAATGAAATCATGTTTTGAGCAGATGCGGTTTTCAAAATCCTAAAACCGTGTGAAGAATTTTGGGGCAAAATAGATACAGGGGAGAGATATCTTCAGTTCATTCTTTCAGTCCGGCATTTGGATCCGAAGTTAGGCGGCAAACATTTTGTACCTACAGACAAGTTGAACGTATCCCGATTTCTCGCAGATACAACACTTCTCTTGCCTGCGTGGACATGAACATTTGAAATGATTTCGTCCACAAGATTCATATTTGCCAAACTTTCGAACTGGTCAGTCAGAGTTCGATCTGTGGAGTGACGTGTTGATGGATTTGGAACACGAAAACTTGCTAGAGGTTTGCATGTGTTATCTATCTGAACCCTTGAATTATTTCCTTTAAAATAATTTAACAAAACTGCTTCATCAGCTTTCGTTACGTGCCTCACATCTCCGTACTCCTCACATATTTTCCGAACAGTTTGAAAATCTTTTTATCTGGATAGAGCAGCAGCTTCTGCTGTAATTCGGGCAGTTGAATATTAGCAATGAATCTAGCACGCAGTTGGTCTTCTAGTTGGGCACTAGAGTCACATTTGGCTGCCTGTGTCTGCAACTCTAATACAAAATCAAGAACTGACTGGAAAGGGGAGTGCGTCAACATGTTGAACCCTGTCTGCAGCTCTAATACAAAATCAAGAACAGACTGGAAAGGGGAGTGCATCAACATGTTGAACCTAGGTTTTTCGGCTGCTGAGAGATTAATTGGTTTGAAGTGTTGCAGAAATTTTTCTACAATGCATCATAATAAATATCGATAAAAGTTCCGGATATAGTGAAAGTTTTCTCACTTTATACGCCCACTTGACAACAAAATATAGAAAATGTGCCGTAAGTTTCTTATCATCCATATCAGATTTTGCAAGACACCATGTGTCAAACCATTCCAAATAATCCTTTACGTTTCGCGCAGTTGAATTAAAATTTAATGGTTCCATTTCGGCAGGTATGATGAATTGTTCCAATCGCGACGCCAAAGTGTAGTAGTTGAATTCAGCACGTATATGAGCATTATCAAACAAAATAGAAATTCACGGCGTAACAAGTAACACATATGCATTCAAATTGATGTGTATATAGTACTTGGTATATTAAAACGAAGGAATAATGAATAGAGCATTAATAATGTTCATCACAGTCCAGCACTTTTCAAGCGTCTCTAGAGCTACCTGACTGGGAAGTCCTGACTGGCGGTGCAGTCGATCGACACAACCAAGGTGTTACTAGGTCATCGCTCGAGCCATCGGGTGTTCCTCTCGCAAGTGCTAGTTAATTCTCCACCGTGACCATCAGTCGCTTTTCCAGGATTAATGTTACATTTATACCGATGGCGAAGTCTCAAATCAAGCTATTAACAAAACTGACAACAAAATCTGTTTTGACGAAAGAAGTTTCATTGTTTCAGACGATATCACGGACGATTTTGGTAAGCTGGATTTTTGTGTGTGCTAACTCGTCATTATGTATCAATCTGCATTTGTCAAAACTACTAGATTTACGAGAACCTCTGTGTGAGAATGGAAGAGGACCTGGTCAGCGGAATCGTAGTTAACGCTGTGAAACCCAGCACACGTGCACAAAGCAATCAACACGGTGAAGTTTAGGTGCACTACCCTGAAGTTTGCGCTACACCAAGGAGGTCATCTGAATGTTGTCCTTCTTGTCATCCTGGTAAGCACATGGGTCACAATATAACTGGAAACCCTTTGGCCTCACCGCCAAAATTGCGGTATGCGGCAAGTGGACAGAAACGTTTCTAGGAAAAGGTAGTTAACGGAGTATCTTTACACAACCAAAGTAACGCGGTTTAGGTAAACAACAGAATAGAATGTTTCAAGTCTTTCCGTGTTTTGATGCCTCTCTCCTTAACTGTATTAGGTGTGATGGGATGCTAGGGTAAACCACATTTGTCCTAGCTTAACGTTGTTGTGGGTAACCTTGCACGTTTAAGAATCTGTGTGTCTTGATATGATCACGGTTATATCTCCGCAACTTGCCTTCCACTGTAAGTTAAGCGCTACTAAACAAGCTAACGTTCTAGCCTAAACTTAGCAACTTGGCTCTCTTGTGCATTCACGTGACGTCAATTCATCAGGTCAAATATGCTTACGTTGAAAGGCAAACGGTTCACATAGAAACTCGGGACCGCATCTGGTTGAACACACAGCTCCAGAGAAACTGAGCTGAATCCGGAAGCATACGCTGATTCAAAATGGATCATGTGCACATTTATGAGAACTTCCTCAAGCTCCGGGGTGAAGTCTGGACCCGACACCGTTAGGCTAAACGAGGCCTTTAAGTGTACCGTCTGAAATTTTCATGGAAGAAATCTAAGAGAATAGCTACACTTTGTAGAGTTATCATCTCCTCACATTCTTTGCCAAAACCAGTTTTTCACCTGAAAGGAAGAAAATGTTTTACGAAAGTAAACATCCCAAATTTGGTCACATTTCATGTGTATGTTGTGACTTGGACAAGCTTATCGTAATACAATAATGAGTAACTTAATATTTTCCACCGCCTCGATCCAGCTAAAATTGTTCCAAACTAAGCAGTAACACCCTGAAGTGCACGACAGCTCACGGAGACATTGGCGCACCAAAATCGTCACTCCAAGAAAAATGAACGATGGACGGCTCACCGGTATTTTCCACTCCGATGGTTGCCTCTAAACCGTCTTCTATCAGCCGTAAGGCATCCTTATCGGTATACTTCAACGCAATACGCAAAATACTGTAATCGATACGCAGCTGAAATGCATCGCGGTCAATTTTATGGGGAACTGACTGATCAACTTTATTTTAAACTGTGCTATTTACTTAGTGAAATGAACTAACCCAGTTTCACAAATTTCTGTCATTACTTTAGTATTGGAGGCGCCTGGTTGTAAGTGTTCTTATCAGTAGTCTATGTACATTCTTGTCGCATTTTCATTGCCCATTATTTTCACTGTATTTCTGGGATGGTTTCAGTTAGTTTGCACTTAGAAACTTTGAGATCAGTATCTAGCCTAATGTTCTGTTGACCCCCAACAGACACGGTTTTATACATGGTGATCACATCATGAAAAAAGTAAGACAGGTAAGGCGGCAGTCACCAGAATGGACTTTCAAAGGTTATTTTTACCCGGTAGAGAGTACGTTCTCCGTTTAAGACAGGTAAGGCGGCAGTCACAAGAACGGACTTTCAAGGGTTATTTTTACCCGGTAGAGAGTACACAACGTTCTCCGTTAAGTATGGTCAAGTTAAATCTCATTAGGAGAACCTTCGCTTACTCGTAGTTGCGTTTTCAGAGCATTATTTCTTTAAAAAATGCTAGGCCCGCAAATATGTAAGGAATGATGTTGTTCATTCGGTCAGATGTGGAAGCCGTCCACTAGAAATTTACCACTTGCTAGGTACCGGGCCATGTAGCGGAGTTACTGAGGGCTACAGGATGACAAAATATAGGTTCCGAATTTGATAAGTCCCCAGGAGGCGACACTGATGAGCTGAGTAGCGAAGGGGGTCCTCAAAGGGAAACTATTCAAGTTGTCACTATGCCTATTGAACGTAAGTTGCACGAGCACACTCCGTGATAATCCGATGCATCTGGAAACATTCTCAGGGGGGACAGAGAGACGGTCGTCTTCCTCAGGTCGTCTGCGAGATAGAAACTTACGATAATAAATTCAACCTAGGCAGACAGATAAGGTGACCTACCTCAGGACGACGCCGTGCGTTACAAGCAATATTTAACATTTAAAGTAAAAAATGAAAAAAAAACAGAGGACAAATTGTTTTGTGAATCACCGTACGATGGCTACAATGCGAAATCCGATTCATGACTCGTTTCGAGGAGAGGCAACCCTCTTACACCAATCAATTGTCTTCCTCATCACATGTTTTAGTTTGTAACCAAATTGTCCCAATTTCCAATAATCGCAAGTGAAGTATTAGGGATTCTACACGTTCAAGAACACTTATCCATGAATCAGTGACCCTAGAATGAACACTTTGCTTACTGAGCCCAAAAAGGTAAGTGATGAATAAGCTTACGGAAACTACCGTCACACCGATTTCAGGGTAAGTACGGGCC